AAGTCATCCAATAAATCATCAAAATATCGAGGGCGAAAATGTTCAAATTGATGATATTCATTGTTTTTGCAATAATGCTGTGTAACTTTGATTGAATTCGAAATATGAACAGCATTTTTCTGCTTTTTGGAAGCGAATTTTGTAATGCATTTTTTGACTGGCATCCTCTAGACCCTATAGGAGTACACATTTTCTTTATATCATTTGCCGTCTACTTTTCCTATCTACTTATTGATGGCTCAGAACAAATTTGCGAAGGCAAAGTCCTCATGTAATCAACCTAACTTTAGAGTTAATATTAAGATTACGATATTTTTCACGCTTAATTTGAAAAATTAAAATATTTCAGATGTAAAAATACACCGTTCTCAACTAGGGAAAAATGTAGCTTCAAATTTCTGCTTTAAATCTTTTCTTCTGACATGCGAACTTGCGCCTCACTATAAAATAATAATAATAATAATAGTGAAACACCGATTTTATTTTCGAAATTCTCTGGCAGGATTTTTTCAGATTTACAGCAAAACTGGTGGTTAGAGCATGCCTAAATTTCTTATATGTAATCCCCCACGGGACTTTAGGGAATAAGGTGAGCGTACACACACTAAATCAAAAGAACTAGGTTTAACACGTGAGCTGCGTGTTAGTTACTTGCCTCGTTAACTTCGCAGCCATTGTCTTGCTTCGCATGGTAGAAACAAAGGAACGTGTTAAGATCTTGCCCGAAACTTCGAACAATACGACGCGCCACTTAAAGTTGAAGTTGCTTTCGATTTGTACATAGAGCGATAAGAATTTATAGTTTACAAGTTAAGAATTAAGTTTAAAAAAAGGAATTCATGTCTTCAAACTGAGCTCCTATAGACCTTGTAAAACACGTCGTGCTCATTGAATTCCGTGTGAAAATCCTGAGGGAAAGATTTGCCGTCAATATTACTCTTTTTCTTACAACTTTCGGATAGGACATAAGATCTTCTTTATTTTTGCTTATATTCTGTTAGTAATGTACTTCGCAAAAAAACCATTCTCAGAATTAAGAAGATGATAAACATAAGTAACAAAGTGAGTTGTGGTGTACAAGATAAGCTGGCGTGGTAAGGAAACAGTGGAACTTAGCTCGCTAAAAAGAAAAAAATCTAGCGTGTTCTAGAAACAAAGCTCTACCGTGCTAGCAAGATATGAACAATGGCTACGAACACGCTTTCCAAGATCAATTGTTTTTATGCGCATAACTGCACGGTAAGCGTGTCATGCCATTGGCGTGCGAGCGTGTTAGAACGTGCCGTGTACTTGCGTTCACCTTATTCCCTGAAACCACGTGGAGGGTCACATATTAAAATGCTTATGGGTAGGATAGCAAAAGCTAGGCTTATAAGACCTAAAAAATCTTAAATCGTTCAACTTTTATCGTGTCTAGGTTAGGTAACATGGGACGTGTTCACGTGACATCATCAACTGTCTTATACACACAATCTGCAATAACTGTTAAATTCAGTTAAATAAAAGAAAAATGCTGTCAGTTTAGAGCTAACTGGTATTCCTTCAGCAGCAGCTCGGAAAAGAGAAAGAAAATGCTTAAACCCTTAACTCTCTCTCTGTTTTCTTTTTAGATATCATTGAATTAACACACGTTCCTAACCTATTTTCCCCTACATCCAGTTTTCTCGCCTTATATCTCTTTTCGAGAAATACTTCTTCTAATAGTCTTATTTTGTTTGGAATAATAGTATTCTAGTTGTAAGCAATGTATATTTTTGTTTTCTCTTATGCAGTTACTCTTACTTTGATGATGCAACTGCAAGGACCAGGTGAAGCAATGTAGATCCAATTTTATTATACACATACTGATGAAATACCAGTATTTTCCTTTTACTAAAAAGTCATATCTTCATCGCATGCAGTGAAGATACTATTTTTATCTTTCATGTTTGAGGATATTGGTGTCGCCATGGTTACAAACATGATCAGCCAATTATAAGAGAGCTTACAGCTCAGGCGCGCGGCCGGTTCTTTTGAAATTTCATTAGTATAGATTAAATAAACAGATCATTACATGGCCGCTTGGGGATACGAGTTTTATCTTCGTTTTTATCTTCTCACACTCGTGAGAGATACTTTCGGCACGAGAAGATAAAATTCGTATCCCTACGCGGCCATTTAATATCCTCTATTTATCATATATGCACAAGTAGGAATGATTTCTGACTGATTTCTTCAATACCGAAAATTCATGCACAGATTATTATAAGGGATGCTTTTACTTGGAAAGACGTCGTAGATTCATCTGGCAACCTTTTTAATGGTATCTCGTGTATATCATTCAAAGACCATTATCTGTAACATTTCTTAAATCTACACTGACATGACACAGTAGGTAAAATCAGAGCACTTTCAAGAAGGCAAAATGCCAAAATAGAGAGAGATGTATTGCATGATATGGATCGATCAAATACTCTATAGATATTAGGAAAAATATCAAGTTCTATGACACGTGTTCTCGCTAGTTTAGAATCACCTTTGACTATGATCATCATCATTATTACTTTCATCATTAGTATCATTATCATTATTATTACGATAATTAAGACTATTATTGTCATTAGCAACATCCTTGCCAATGTTATTGTTTATATCATTTTCATTGATATTATTATCATTATTACGCTCATTTGTAGTATGCCCAAATCCTTCTTTTGAAAACCGTTTGTACACATTTTTGGAGAAGGGAGGAACATGGAACAAGAACAGAGACCATTGTCGAAGCCAAGGAGGAGACCTGGTTTCCATAGAGACAGAAGATGAACGGAATTTTATCAAGAAAGAGATTCAGAAGTCCAATGATACATTTTATCATATTGGCTTAGAAAAAAAAGCTGGCAATTGGACTTGGGTGAATGGAAGACAACTAAATTTCAAGCAATGGATAAAAAACTTGTCTAACCCTGATGGAGAGGTAGCTTCCATTTCTTGGAAGTCTAACGATGGATTTATGCAAGTCAAATCTGGAACTAGGGATGCAGATTCTCCTTACATTTGTGAGTTTCATAAAGGTAATTCAAAACTACAACTGTCTTAAAGAGAGTAATTAAGGTACAGGGAATTCCTGAAACGCTAAGACGTTATCACTATGGATCCTGCAGGTTTCACTAATATTAGAAAAGAAGTGGCTTTGTGCTAGAAGCTTTAATGTAAGGCCAATGTGATTGACAATGGGCCCTTCCCTATTACGCTGGCATTTTCTTTGGCCTACTTTGGCTCACGGAGCAATTCATATGGCACTTTTCCACAACATTTTTCCTTGCTGTTTGTGTTCTAGCACTTTTAAAGAACTTCAGGAAACTGAAATTCTCCAAGCTCTCCACATATATGCTGTCTCTCCATTATAGTTGCGCCTTCGAACGCCTTGCAGGTCAGCGGTTAGTTTGCCTAGGTTGTACCCAGCCCTTGCTAAAAATCAAACTAAGATGGCTTCAGCAGGCGTTCAGCTTTCTTGGGAGAGTCAAATGCCAGTTTTAACAGTTGCGAACATAATCGGAAAAGGGTTAAAATGATCAGACGAAACGATGAGTAGAAATGCTACCCACTTATGGTAATGTAAGTGAAGTGTAATCATGGTTATGTTAGTGTTATATCAATAAGTTTTGATTTTGCGACATCATTGAAAGCAATGATAATTTAAATAGATTTGGCTATGCAAATAATGTTACTATACAGTATTATTATTGATAGATTATTGTACCTTCACATAAAAACTAGCCGTTTGTTTGTAGCGTTTCCTTTACATTTGATAACAAAATAGGTAAACTTATGTACAGACGCCTTTATCTAAAAGCTTCAGGAAATTCACGCTAATTGACTAGAGGTCTATACCATAACTCTTGATCGATTTAAGTTGCCACTTTATTTTGATCATCTATGAAACTATGAAGCTTCTTACAATCAAGATGAATTTTTGCTTCCAGTATTATGAATGAAGTTTGGTCGAGAAAAAAAATACATCTTAGCCCACCAAATACTCCATTTTAGCCCATAGTGCCCGGAAAAGAGTTAATAACTGTCATAATATACAGGTCTTAGGTTTACCCTCGGGTAAAAACGATTGCAGGTTTATAAGTGATAGTTTGCCCGCCTGCTATCTGTATCAGTAACAGGAGTAACAGTAATTGAAAATACTTCCAGTCATGGGCTTTGCTTTAATCAAAGGTAGTATGTTTCTTTTAGAGATTTGGATGGTCGGTCAACATCTATTCCTAAACTTATTTTGTGTTGTAGCTGTTTTATGCGTTCTTCACAACAGAATGTCCTATTTATGCTAAAAAATTCTTTTTTTCCCCCTAAATTTATCAATATCAGTGGTAACATCATCACCCTCACCGTTACCTGCTGCACCCTCTGCACCATTGATGTCGACATGGACACAATCGGCTCTATCACCGCAAGTGTCGTCATCATCGTCACCGAAAAAGTCGCCTTTGGAGTTTTTGTCGCCGTCGCACTCACCCTCACTCACGTCCTCGCCTTCATCCACACCTTCGTCCTCGTTTTTACTCTCTAAATCACCTTGTGCTTCGTTATCACCGTCGTTGTCGCCATCGCCATCGCCATCGCCATTACCGTCCCCTCCGACTTCAACATCGCCGTTGCCGTCGACGTCGAGAACAATTCAGAAGCTGGTGCGTACTCCATTCAATCATAGCCCCTGTGCTTGTCTTTGGCCCATAAGTGTAACTGTTACTTTCTCCTTTTTAGGTAAGGGAATATGTTTTTAAACTTGCCAGAATAGATGTCACCAGAAACAATTCTATACAGGTATTTTAGTCTTTGGAATTTTCATTAGAGACTCAGATCTATTCTTTGACTTGCATTAATGCCAAGTAATTATCGTCTTATTATTACCTTACCAAAAAGTATTTCATATAACTACAGGAGGCCATAGGAGTTTTCGAGGACTTCTTCACAGGTATTAAAAACATCACGAAACCTGCTATCATTGAAGAGGCTGAAACAAGAAGGAAATCAATTTTCAAGGTGGCAGTCAACTTCGAGAGATATGCTCTCAGTTATAGCAAGCACCACCTGATAAGGATGAGGTCTTTAGAAGTGATCAAAAGCCGCAAAATGGGTGAGTCGGAACACAACCATCTTTTCAGATCAGGGGTGATATAGCACTTGTCTATCTACTGAGTGGGTGAGTGGTTCACAAAATGGATAACTGCTTAGATGATGTGACAGTTTATACACGTGATCTGTTGAGAAACGTCACTATTGGATCAAATTGGTCAATCTATTCCCCGACTTGGACTTTTTGTTTTTCAATTACGATGGTAGAGGAAGGCATTTGAAGATATTTCAAAAAGGAAAAAAATAAACGCCTCTTAAAACTCTTCTCGTCGATGTTTTTATGATCGTAAAGATCCGTAACTTTTGAGAGGAAAAGAAAAGAAATGCCTTTGTGCGTTCACATGTTATTGTTTAGTTCAATACCAGCTGAACCATCCATTATTCTTTCTCCGTCAGTACTGGTTTTTAAAAAAGCCCACCGACAAAGTGCCAATGACTTCTATTTCGGAGAACAAGAATTGCAAGCGAGCATGAAAGTTTCCTCAGCAAATTTTGCGAACAATGGTTTGTGTTGACTACTTTTTTTAACCCTTAATTTGCAATGTACCTTTGTTTTCCTTCCAAATAGCAATTGGTTTGTCAAGTTGCACAGAGATCGATATCCTTTTCCTTTTTTTTTCCTTTAGTGTCGCTGGTTGTTGGGATTGTGTACACAGATCTCCATGAAGTACTACTCACAGATCAACCCATCAGGGATAAAACAGGAAAAGAAAGGTGGCGTTATCTCTCTGATTTTATCAACCAAATGCAGCTTTAATTGCATATAAAAAAGAGAAAATTGCGGGCTCAGCAAAAGTGATGTTGAAAAAATGTCAAAACCCAGCTGGTGTTCTGCTTGTCAATCACCATCAGCCAATCGTCTATGAAGTAACTGCGAATTTGTCATTGATTTGAAAAGGGTCTTAGCTTGCCTTATTCCCGATGATAACCATACTTTCAACCTTTTCTGTTTTCATTCATATTCAATTTTCTTCATAGGCATTTGGACTCCAGGATAATAGCTGTAGCTATGGATCCAAAACCGGAAGCATTGCAAGAAAATGTCATCCTCAAGTTCAGAAATCTCAGGGTAACAGAGATAGTAAAATTAAGACTAGTTAATCTGCGTTAAGTCTATTCTAAAGATTTAAAATGTATTTTTTAAGGCTGATGAAGGAGAGAAGAAATGCGTGTTTTGGAGTGGCTTCAGTGAAAGGTAAGGAACTGGAATATATCTTTTTTCCCCGGCAGTAAATTGTTTCTTGGCGGCAAATCAGGTAGACAGGTTAAGGAGTATTTTGTGTAAATATCAACAATCGAAATCATAAGTCAACAAAAGCGTTTAGGTTCTGAACTCGGTAGGAGAAGGAAATAATTGTTTCTTTTTGTTCCGCTTTTCTTTAATATTTCTTGCGTGATTAGGTACCTTTTGTATTTTTTCTGTTTTCTCTTTTTTGCAGCTCAGACGGATATTCAGAGAGAGGATGTCACGTTGTAAAATCGAAAAAACACTTCCCAGACACAGTTTGCAGCTGCAATCATTTGACCCATTTTGCCGTTTTAGTCGATTACAACGGTAGCCCTAAGGTAATCGTATCTTTAACATTTTTAATACAATCCCTTTGATTTTGGTAACATTCTTTTTTATTATAATGAAATTTGTGTCACAGCTCACCGAGAAGGACACAACCATACTGGAAATTATCACTTACGTAGGATTAAGCCTTTCCACGACGGGGATACTTTTGACAATTATAGCCTATTACTTCCTCACGTGAGTACTGTAGGTGGACTATTTAAGGATTAATCAAAACTCTAAGAAAATTCGCACGTAATTGGCTATCACCAGCCCGATTTCAGCACTAATAGGACAGTGTGTGCGTCATGCTTGAAATTGGAAGGTATAATAGGACAGTTAAAGGGACAGTTAAGACGCCATGGCCTTGTGAGTGGACAAAACACGTCATGTGAGCGCGTTGTTGTCTCGCATTTTGACAAGTTAACTGTACCTTTTTTTTTATGAAAACGTATAACCAATGTCTAGTTTTTTTTTTTTTTAAATTTTGAACCTTGAAGAATTGTCGCAGCAATCCTTATGATAATGATTATATTTGCTATGGATAAGGAAGAATAAAATAAAGATAAAATTTTTCCTCTTCAGTAGCAGTAGTAATTTAATTGCCTCATCTGTTACGACATGAAATGAGTATTATACGTTATCATAGAATTATTCGTTTTGTTTTGTTTGTTTGCTTGTTTTTATTTTGGTTTTTTTACTAGTGATGTTGATCAACCTCTGTCTCAAATACGTTTGAATCTCTCTGTGGCCATCGGAGCTGGACAAATAATCTTTCTCGCCGGGATAAACTCCACGAGAGACACGGTGAGTCATTTATAAATCCCTTATTTGAAAAAAAAAATTATTTTAAAGCTTATTAAATTTTGTAAATAGGAGAGTAAAAAAAAAAACCTAATTTTTTCTCTCGCAGACTGCTTGTGTCGCAGTAGCAGCTCTGACGCAGTATTTCCTAATGGCTGCTTTCTGTTGGATGCTGATCGAAGCAATTTATCTCTATCTGCTTGTTGTGAAAGTTTACAACATCACCGAAAAGATACACATGTTTCACGTCATCTCATGGGGTACGTTACTTTAATTGTTGTGAGTTATTGGTACCTTCCTCATTTTGAATCGCTTCTGATTGGATATGTAATTCCGTGAGTTATGTGGACTTCCTCCTATTTATACTCAGGTTTACCCATCATCATGGTCGGTATTTCATTAAGCATCGCTGCTGGAAAAGAGGAAATTCAAAGCTATACCAGTGATAAATAGTAAGAAATTCCCTCTCTACTAGTCTCTTATCCTTCTCCGTCTTTTCCGTCTTTCACATAAACTCATTTTTTTCGTGTGTGTTTTGACTAATGTTTCGCTTCTAAGGTGTTTTGACACGGGGAGGTTGAAGGAGCTATTTCGTTCAAATCCATCTTTTTTTTTTGTCCTCATCTCATTTCAAGCTGCTGGCTGTCCTCCGCTGACAACCTGATCTGGATATTCATCGCATTTGTGGCGTTCATTGAAGGTGTAAGTCGACCAATGATAGATTCTTCATTATTTCTTTAATGTACCAGGAAGAACGCATTTCTATTCTCGACGACCATACTCAAAGTTTGCAATATTTCTAATACTAATCACTCACACGATTTTTACAGTATTTCTGATGTTAGCTGTAGCTGTCTAGTCTCTCTTGGAGAATCGGAGCACGTAACTCGAAGACTCGGATTGGGGATTCACAATTTTCCTTTTTACGACGCTTCTGGCAAGACAGATAATTTTCTTTTTCTATTTAACGATATCTTATGATTAAAAGTACCAATTGTTTGTTTCAGCTCAACATTTTGATACTGGTCCGAGTCATAAAGGAGATGACCACACTTGTACAACCTATAGAAGAAGCCAACCATATTCAGCAAATACGGTAGGATCTAAACTTTAACATTTGACCAAACGATTGTAATGAGTGCAATTAGGGAAAAACAAACACACGAAAACGAATTGTTATAGGAGCGAGCTCTGAGGTATCTGGCTAATTCAGTTGGTTCCCTACTAGTTAATCATAAACAACGAGGCGTTACGACTTCAACTGAAAGGTCAACTACGAACGTCTAATTCCACAAGTCACGTATTGTCATTGATCTTCAGACTTGGCGTAAGAACATGCCTAGTGATGTTTCCACTGCTGGGCGTTACGTGGCTATTTGGTCTTTTTTTACCATTACACAAAGCTTTCGCCTACATTTTCACCATCTTCAATTCTACTCAGGTGAGCTTATGAGTAAAACTGTCGATTATCAGTTGTCTGTATGAATACATTAATGCTCATACTACTTATAAGCCAAAACCAGATCCTCTCATATCCATCATATTATATTTTCGTGAAAAAAACCTTGGAAACAAAGAGCATTCAATTAGCCAATCAATATGAAAAAATTATCCTTTGGTTTATGAGACATGCAACTTGCTTTAATAAATTTTTTTCACCCTTTTTAATACGTTTTATAAGAACACTATACGTGATGATAAACTCACTGCATCAAATATCTCATACGACCCTCTATCACTGCTCATCAAAATCGACAAATTAAGGCTGATCTTGAAATAATTTTCTGTTTTAGGGTTTCCTGATTTTCGCCCTTCACTGCTTGCGAAACAGCCAGGTGAGACGGATACGAACCTGAGGATACACACCAAGAACATGATATTGATTTTGACATAAATCAAGATTTGAGTGCTCAGTAACTTATATTTTGTCGCCTGTACATCTACAGATTAGAGAGCGATTGAAAAGGAAGATGAACACCATTTTCCCAGCTACTGTGGATCATGGAAAGAAAACCTCAAAAATTGATCCAAATGATGCCGGCGATATGTGGGCAGTTGAATTGCAGTCTTTCAATGAGTAGCTCTTTATTTAGAAAAAAGAAACGATTCAATCGACTTTTGGGAATACGCAGTCACTTAGTATGATAGAGCTGACGACGGTAGATCGATGTTCAATCTCGATGCGTTAGTTAAGTTAAGTCGTTCTGGTTCACATCGTTAGTCATTAATTATAATGATGTCATGAAAACTTAAGTCGTCCTTATAGTGCAGGGAGGTGTTGAGATAAGTTAACATTTAGAAGAGCAGCGAATGGCACCCGAAAAATCGTGAGTCTTGTACGATCATGAAATCTCGCCTCAAAGTCTCGCGTCTGTTTTTATGGCCGATAGTCTCTTTGAAAGGTGGCTAGAGCAGCTTGAAGCCAACGCCATAAGCGACAAAAGTCAGTCCGCGGGCCTTAGCTTAAATAGAATCCGACATAATGCTATGAATAATACTACATTAAGTTATAATAAATGAATAATTATGATGTTTGTCTTTTATCTTCAGCACTCGTGAAAAGCATAAAGGGAATAGCTTGGCTAAAAATGAAAAATTTGGATCCACCCATGTGCCTCATCATTTGACATAAACTAACGCATTTTCATTTTTTTTCCTTTATTTATTTAGTAGTTGGGTGCCAAAGGCTATGTCGTAGATAAATTCAAATTGAATGTGAATCAAAATAATTCATGAACAAAAGAATAATGAACAAATAAACAAATATGTAACAGATACGACGTCAATCTGCAGTTCATATCTATTTTAAACTTTATTAATTTGTTAGTATCTTATTGCGTATTTTTCATGCTTCGTGTCAAGAAAGTGGTATATATCTAAGAGTAATAAATGTCAAAAGAAATCTGGATGCATATGAACGGAATACTAACGATAAAAAGTGGTTCGAATTATATTCTGCAATGAATGTCCTGAGTCAGTATATCAGATCCAGCGCATCGTTATGAATGCTGAATATTCTACTGTCCCGTTCATCAGGAAAAATTATTTCTAAGATGAATGATGATAAAAAAAATCGATACAGAAATGACTTAGAGAAATATGTATACATGAATGAAATTAAAGAGAATTTGTCTCGCGCCACTTCTTGCTTAGCTTTATGAATTATTACATACATAAATCTTTGGAATAGCAACTTACGTGACATTAGCTCGTTGTGTCTGTCGGGGGAGTATTGCAACTTATCGTCGATATAAAAACCAAGGGTGGGGAGGGAAATATTACGGCAGATGCGTATTTCAGGATCTTAAAAATAATGCTCATGCAGTCTTTCAGAGTTTTTTGCGGAACAATTTCCGGTCTTGCATGCACACAAGGAAGTTTAAGATTCAAAGTAGCTCTATTTTTAATTTTCTTTTTAGCCACAAGTAATGTGACATTTTCAAGGTAATTTAGTTTTATCAACTGAGTTGATAAAGTAAATTGGCCGTCGTAAGGAGTTAAAAGTCTGACGTTTCGAGCGTTAACCCTTCGTCTGAGCGATTTAAATCCAACTCCGTTGATAATTCTTAATTACCCTGTTCTACTCTCCCACCGACGCAGCACCACAGTTTCTTTAGAAACTTACCCCCTTTTAACATTTTTCATCCGCAAAGAAACTTTGCTAACTAAGGAGCTTTTTATAATGAAGCAAGCCTCCAGTCCTCCCACGTATAGCTGGAAAATGGATTATTATTTCCTTTTTCCATTTTATTTATTTTTGGTGGCACTTAGAGACTGAACGTGGACCGTAATCATAGTTTACACAACTGTATTTTAGCAGAATGACATTTAAAATGGTTCAATCATTTTATGAAAAAAGGTTATTTGCCTTTCTGAGAATTTAATTAAGGTCCTGAAAGCTTCACCTGCGCTTTTGAGCAATCCAATCAATAACTCTGAATTAGGCATTTTTCTTTTAATAACAGCATCTTCTTATTTCCAGAGATGTGTTCTGTGTCGGGATCTACACCTATTATCCAAAGTACAGAGAAATAATTTTCTTGTCGATCAGTTTGAATTTTACTCCAAAAGATGAACGACGAAATCTTCAAATTAAAAGGCAGAGGTATTTCAACTTTTCTCATTTCATACAGATGTTGTTGTTCATCTAGGCTATATGAATAAATGAAGGTTTAATCGTTTATCTTGCGATTAACTGCAAATGATAAATCGACTTTACATCGTGAGACAAAACGATCAACCGTTTAATAATTGTTTCCCGCAAATTATTTTGCTAATTTTTTTAACGAAAACGATTGCACCGTATGAAATAATTTAACTTTGTCATGTTTCTTGAAAAAGATGACCGGTGTAGCTGGCATATCTGGTTACCAAGACGACTGTGTTATCTTCTCAATTGTGTGATGTAAATGAAAAAAAAGGCGTGTATATTGCATACGTTGAAGAAGTCATGCCTTTGAAGCAAGACAATTTATATTATTCTAACATCTATATATGTATTTTTGTTGGCGTTTCTTAATTCTGACTTCAGTAATTATGTATTCGTAGAATAGAAAGGAACTTACAAGTAAAGTAGAAAGCAGATGGTTAAAAACGGGAGTGCGCACATTTTAAGCCAGGACTGCGTGAATTGTGACGAGGGCGAATAATTATGAGACAATTGAGAACTACTCCATTTCTTAATGAACATGGACAACAAATATATTAAAACATCATGTTACCACTTCCTTGAATGCGTTGGTAAGGTTTTAGTGCAATTGGCTTGAACGTAGGAAAAGTTGGCTGCTGCAAGGATAATATTTCAGTTTATGGATAGTTAAAGACTTCTAGAAAAGTGTTTCTAAACATTCATTTAAATTATTTTGCTATTCTAATATTCAAATTCCCTTGATTAAGTGACGTTTCAGTCAAAATGCAACATAAACGTCCAGATGTCATTAATTTGCATGACAATCAATTTTGTGCTTCGAGCCATAAACAAATAACAGCTCTATAAAAGCCTGACTGCAGACGTAAAAACAACAATGTAAGCTAAATTCATTCTTTTACAGGAGAAAGCTCTTTCAGAATCAACTAACAGCAATCTTGCACTGATCTCAAAGATATTTATAATATATACGCACAATACGGAAATAATATTTTGGTTGCTTTTAGATAACTCGCTGATCTCAACACATTTATTGGTCCGACTGAAGGCAAAGGGACAACAAATTAACCTCAAAACAAATGGATGATTTCCATAAATTTACTGCAGCTCTGTTGCTGGTCTCCTCGTTAGGTGAGTGTGGATTCTGTTGTGAAGATTATTACTTTTTCTTTTCGAAAATTTTTTCTCGCCATAGGGATCAAGGACTCTTTTAACTCTCATATTCGTTGTATCTACATATCCTAATAAATTAGACGTAGCAGAACATTGCGGATGAGAATTAATAACTTAAACCATCGGAAAATGCGGCCAAAAGTCGATTTAGTTTTAATTTTTTTTCAGTGTTTCTTTTCCAAGTTTGTCCCAAATTACTCGCGCATTTATTCAGTTTTTTTCAACCATCTGCTCACTGACCTAAGCAAAACCGAAAACGTATTAAACGCGCTCTGATCGGTTTGAAGAGCGTGAATTTCTTGGGTTATTTTTTGTCGGACGAATTCTTTTATTGAAGACATTCTGATATATTCTGCCCAAAAAATCACCTTTGATATGGTTTCCCTGAGTCAGGGCATAAATTTTTTTGGGCGAGACAACTCCCGCGCAAAACGGTTGCATCTACCAGGCAGACTACTTAATAAACATTTTGCTTTGAAAACCTTAAAGATTGTGCGAGGTAATTTGCGCATGTAAGAGGAACTGTAACGAAGTGCAATGTAGGCAGATACATGTCATTTGGATTGTAAGGGAACAACATGCAATCAGACTTGCAACGTAAATGTAAATTTTTGTTTTTCGAAATGCAGCTCGAGCAAATGTCTCCCTATAATTAGTAATGTTTAATGGATCACCCCGAAATTCTACGGGTACTCCGAATAGCCCGTTCAAAGATTTTTGTCCGAAAGACATTCGCGAAAGTCTACCGTATCCTTAAAAATGTTTCCCACATGTAACAAGTTTTCAGCTGGTTGATAAATTGCGGAGATTCTGCATTGTGTAAAATTTCTTCGCCAGCTCTCTAGGGATGAGAATAAAAGTCATGGGTACATGTTCAAGGGCATGTAGCGAATAAAATGCAGTTGTACTTGTCTAACTCGAAATCTAGTAAACTTTTTCATTGTTTCAAATGTTATTCTTGAGATGGCAATCTATTTATTTGCTCATTTTCTCTACTACAGTCATCCTTCCTTTCTCGATGGAATCGCCAGCAACAGGTAAGGCAGTGTAATTACAATTTTAACATTGATGTACCTTAACATAAACTGCAAAAAAAAAAAAAGATAATATGTGACTGATTATAATAATAATTAGTCATACACTTCCTGTTAGAATTACATGTGATTCAAAACGTAAGTTGGAAAGCAAAACAAAAAGGTCGTAGAATAACGTTGCTATTACCCTGATCTCCCTAATTTCCACTTTAAAAACCTAGCCTAATTTTAATTTTCGCTTCAGGGATGTAGAGGGTTTTGATGCCCATTGTTTTTTTAAGAAATTAATAGTGTCAAAAATACTTTCTCGTCCCCATCATTATCGTTATCCCAGTTGTTATGATCAGTATACATTTTTTCGTTCATTTATTTATTCATTTATTTTCTTCTCATAAAGTGCCAACCAACATGTTTCAAAATATAATTTAATCCCTCTAGAATTGCCCTTGCCACAAGTCACAAGGCGTGTTCACTGAGATCAGTGAGTGCGTGCATCTTTTTTGAACATAACACACCGAAGTAATTTTATTTTGTGCGTGTGTGCGCGCGTGTGCGGTTTTGCGTTTCTTGTACGAGTCAGTGATAAATATGTTATTCATTGAGTAAGACTGTGCCTAAGGTTTTGAGCACTGGTGCTTAGGACAGAAAGCATAGTTTTTCCCAATACGGACCTTAAACTCAACGAAATGTTTTCAAAAATAACCCTGATGATTTAGGGCTATAATTA